AGGCCTCGTCATAGCAATTGTCCGAGTACCGGCACTCGTCGGACCGGCACCGATAGTGCTCGCACGAGTCTCCTTCAAACTGCCCGTGACAGACACATTGGCCATTTGCACACACACCGCGCTGGTAGCTCGAGCAAGCATCCTCACCACAGCCACACATAAAGCCCTCCGTCATGTGATACAAATTAGTGGACGGAACCAGATGCTCCATAAAACCTGGCCCCTCCCAGTAGAGGTAGACGGCGGCCGATCCCGTTCCGTCCCGAGCATCGAAGCGCAACGGATACAGACGATTTGCCACGAGATACATGGGCTGCGACCAGGCCTCGGTCCAAGTGAAAAGGCGTAGCCCTCCCACATAAAGCCGGGCATCCATCGAGCTGGCGCTCACGCGAAACGTATGCCATCCCGTCTGATCAGCCCGCACATAGCCCGTGTACACGGCTGTCCAGTAATTGCTGTCCACACCACTCGCAGGACCGCTCGATCCCCAATCGCTGTTGATGCGGGTGCGCACACCGCCGTCGGCATATGTCGCAGTACTTGTCATGGCATCCTCCAGCACGCCGTTGAAAAAACGTGTCCGTAGGCCGCCAGGTACCAGATCACCAGAGGGCCCGTCGGTGCCGCAGTCTTCCGTCGCAACCTCGCAGCGAGGACCCGTGTAGCCCGGATCACACGAGCACGTGTCTGGGGCAATACAGCACCCGCGACCCGAGCAGCCGCCCGGACACACCGCCTCATACAACAATACATGGTCCGGCACAACCCCAAAAGCCGACGTCGGCGCCGCCTCGGCCAGCGTCGAGTTGGCAAACGGCCCCATCCAGTCAAAGTACAATGACGTATCCGACGTGTAGTGGCGCCACTCCAGCTTCAGGCGCAGCAGCTCAGCCCGCGTCAAGAACACCGCGCGGCCCGCACTGTCATCGTACGAGCTCCGGTTCAGGTAAATATACGCGTTGCTGTTCTCACGCCGCAGGCGGAACCGATACCACCCCGTCTCCTTGGGCCGCACAAACCCCGCATATACAATGCTAAAGTAGTCGCTTGGCAGCCCCGGGTGCGGGGCATCGTAATCGGGGTCCGTCGACACACGCGGCATCGCCACCATGGCACGCCGCTCATCAAACCCGCTCCCATCGTAGAAGGTCGCAATCAAGCCCTGGTGAACCGCGCGCTCATCTCCGCATACCGTCAGCTCGCATGCTTCGCCCATGTATCCGGCATCGCATTCACATGTCCCCTCCGCTCCGCACGTTCCGTGGTTGGAGCAGTCCACGTCATCGGCGCAGCCCACGCGAGTGCACTGGCTCTCCATCGTCAGCGCCCCGTAGCACTCGCACAGACCGGCCACGCACCGACCCTGGCCCCCGCATTCGCCGTCGTCACTGCCGTAGGCCTCGTCATAGCAATTGTCCGAGTACCGGCACTCGTCGGACCGGCACCGATAGTGCTCGCACGAGTCTCCTTCAAACTGCCCGTGACAGACACATTGGCCATTTGCACACACACCGCGCTGGTAGCTCGAGCAAGCATCCTCACCACAGCCACACATAAAGCCCTCCGTCATGTGATACAAATTAGTGGACGGAACCAGATGCTCCATAAAACCTGGC